CACCACCACCACCATCATCATCATCATCCCCATCTTCATCATCATCATAATCACCACCATCACCACCACCACCATCATCATCTCCATGTTCATTTTAGTATGGATTCAGTGGCAGGAATTCTTCAATAAAACCAGATGAGGTTCAAATTTTGGTTCTGTTACTTAACTAATGTATTAGATCCCATAGTAGGAAATATTTTTTCACTTGTTTGGAGCCTCAGTTCCCTTATCTTTAAAAGGGACTAGAGTACCTATCAAAAGGGGCTGATGGTGAGGATTGAAGTGCCTAGCACAGCACCTGGCACCTGGTGCATGAGGACCTGACATACTTCTCCATGTGCACTCCAGATGGTACACTTTGCTGGATAAAAGGAGGAATGGTTTCATCCCCACAATACAAAATGTACTCATGGGACTTTTTAGATTATAAAACACAGTCCTATAGATTTTTCCCCTAAAGCATTCCAAGAGCCTCATTGGGAAGAAGAATACATATTATTACTTATATTTATAAATAAGGAAACTGAGGCACATGAAGGTTGAATGACTTGCCAATAATCCTATCATTATACTCCTGACTTCTGATCATTTGACTTTGACTCTACAGCCACAGTTCCAGTAAAAGATTAAATGGTAACACACACTGGAAATTAGTAGCATAGTGTTTTTAATTTTACGTATTTTACTGCAATCCATAAAAGATTTTACATCGCAACCCAGTTCCCCCACATAAAAGTTTCATGAAACAATGCTAACTCTTACCATTTTATTCTGATTCTATTCTTTTCCAGCGTGGTGTAATTTTTTTCATTTAAAGAATGTTGGCGTGATAACTCCCTACATGGGTTTTACAGCCCAAGGGATCACAGCTATAATTTGAAAAACGCAGAACACTTTCCCCCAGGGCGGCAGAATGATGTGGGGCAGCTCTACACAGCATCCATGCTGGGATCCCACCCTCAGAGATTTGAAGACAGTGGATCTGGGGTGGAGTTCTGGAGTCTAATTTTTTTTTTTTTTAATAAGAATACCCCCAAGTGACTCTGATGGTCCACTGGCTAAGGACCAGTGTCCTATTGTGTCTCCCTGATTGTTCCCACCTGAAATGCTCCTCTCTATTGAGTGGTTTGTTGGTTGGTTTTTGAGTGTTTCCTCCATCACTCCCTAGCACATTCTTCACCAGGGAATTTGTCTGCCTTGGTCTCTCCTCCTTCCCAGGTTGAAGGACAGAAGTTTGGCTTTTCAGTGATCTCTGAGCCCCGGGGGAGCTTATGGCTCCTGAGAGTGACTGCTGGATCCACATATTGGGCTGGAGCCGTGGGAAAGAAGGGGGCCTGGTCCTCTGTGGTTCCCCAGCTCTGAGACAGGGGCCGACATGGCCCTGTAAGGAACCTACATGGGCTGCTTATTTTAATTCTGCATCAAAGGTGTCCTGGGAGTATGATTAGAAATGGAAATGGAAGGATGTCACAGATACTGTTGATCCAGATTTTCTTTCCAACTCTGGGGAGCTAGGAATTAAAAAAAAAAAAAAAAGTCACCCAGGGGCTACCTGAACTAGACAGACCAGCAGGAAGGTTGAATTCTTCCAGACAGCCTCTCCTGCCCTCACCCCCTCCTCTGTTATACAATTTAATTACACATTTAATCACTTCAGAAACCCCATCCATTCCCTCCAGTGTAGCGAGATCTCTCTTCTTAGCAAGGCATCTCGGTGATAAGCCAGCTGTCCACGGGAAGGGTGGATGGGACTCCTGAAACTCTCCCTTGGCGAGCAAGAAAGACATGGCCAAATAAAAACTGAAATTGTTTTGACATTTCACTCTGGTTGTTGTAGTTTTAATAATAAAGAAGGAACAAAGTATTTGTAGCTTTAAATAAAGAGGTAGCATTTGGCATTGAAATCACTGGGGATTTTTTGTATGTGGTTTTGTTTTTGCTCACTTGAAAAGAAAGAAAAAAAATTGAGCTAAGAGGAGAAAAAGTTCAAGAAAAGGAGAAAGCAAGACCCCTAGACTTGTCCTTCATAGCACTAATCACCATGGCAATTTGGGGATCATCTGTGGGTTCCTTTCTTGAAAGCCTGCTGCCCCTCTTGACTACACAGTCCATAGGCACAAAGGTGGTCTTGAGTTTTGCATCACCATGTGATGAATGAATCTGTTTATATAGTGCATACTATAAGCCAAGCCCTGTGTGTGTTTGTTTTGTTATGATTAGGTTTTTATTTTGATCCTTGCAATCACACTGTGAAGTCACTCATCATTATCCCTACTAAACAGAAGCAAAAACTGAAGCCCAGAGCGCTGCAACTACTTGGCTAAGGTCACACAGCTAGTCTGCAAAGGAGCCGGGCTTCAGAATCTTCCAAACCATGGTCAGTTACAGTATTTTAAGATCAATTCACAGTTAACTGCGCAGCTCTGTTATAAATTCATTCCCTCTGTTCTCAGGGCATTTCTTTAAATTTTCCTATCCCCATCTCTCTGTCTCGGAGCTCTTTCTTCATCCTGCCTCTGTCTCTTCCTCTGCTACCCTTGGCACCCCCCCAACCCTCTTAAAAATATAAAACAAAATAGGATAGTAAGCAAGCTCCCTGGTGGATTTCATAACTTTGCATCCCATATATTTAGTTTAGTAATGAAAAATTCCAGCTCCAGGCGATGCATAGGATAGCATTTCTAATGTTTTTTGAACAGCTATTAATGTAGGCGAGCGCTCGGTGTGTGTATGTGTGTGTGTGTTTTCTGCCTTCTCTATATAATCATCTGCTCAGTGTGCACCCTGAAACTGAGAACAGGAGCCAGAGGAGGAGCGAGCGGTGATTGATGGGCCAGGCCTCGCTGGCGGAAAGAGTCCCATCTGGGGTTGGTTTTGGGAGCAGTCAGATGTTGAGGGGGAGGTCAGCCAGGCGGCCTCAGCTCCCCTCCTTCAACATCCAGCCATCCACACGTTGCACAGAGCGCACACCCTCGCTCATAACTGAGGCTTGCTTTGGGCAGATGCTTTGTGGTGTGGGGCTAGAACAGCTGCTAAGTTTATGGAGGAGAAGGGAAGCAGGATGGTGCAGCAGGTATTTTTCCCGATTTTATTTTTCACTCGAAATTGTGATTTGAATGAAGCTGAAGCCTTGCCTTGTGTTAAGTCTCTGTTGCTCTCTGTGATGCGTACTCTGCTCCTTGAATCCTGCCTGGGGGGGCGCGGGGGGGGGCAGGAGAGGATTTCAGCTGTGTGTGTGTGTGTGTGTGTGTGTGTGTGAGAGAGAGAGAGAGAGAGAGAGAGAGAGCTTTCTGCTTGATGTGTCTAACTGAGCTGGTCTTAGAACCAGCAGGTTAATGGTGTAATTTTGCATTTTCTTCTTTGTCTCAATGCCCCTGGGGGCATGATACAGCTTAGCTCTTTTCAGTCAGGCACTGGAGGCTTTCTCTGAATATGCGCAATTTCTTGCCAGAGAAGTAGAACAGACCACGCTACAAAACTAAAGTAAAACAGTCAGCAAGATGGAAAACTGCAGGAGACCAAGAAGGGAGGCTTTCTTCCAGGAGTCCGTGTTGGGGGGGTTCCCCTCTGGGAGTGGCTGCTTTTCTTGGCTGTGTGGACAGATACAATCACTGGTTTATTAGGGCCGAACAGTTCCTGTGCATGTCTTCATTAGAAGGACTGTGTTTAGGCCAGAAGGGGTTTTGCGGGGCAAGAAATGGACGGGGGGCAAATCAATTCCAGAACCAAAAGGGGAAACGATAATTCAAGAACTTTGACTATTAAAGCTGGGGAAACACACACACACGTACACAGGAAGAATACTTCATTATTTTAAAGTCCACCTTGACAGCTCTGAAAGCAGGTACTTTGTCCTCTCACTAAAAGTCAGGCAGTTACATTGAAAAGAACATCCCCACTTCGCACTCTGCCACGTAAAGACTATTTCTCAGTTGAAATGTGGTTTGCATTAGATTTGGGGCCAAAATATTTTGCAAATCTGTTGGGCTGCCACCCTTTGTTCTCGTATTACTTTCCAAAAATGACTTTATTAAACCACTTGGGGCAATGAATTGGGAGAAGGGAGATGTCTGGGGGTTGTGGGCGGGGTGGGGGGGTGGCTCTCATTTTCTCTCTGACTGTCTCCTGAGCCCACCTCGGAGAGAAAATTAAAGGTGCCGGGTATTTCAATGACTGAAGCAATCCTCCAGTGTTTGAAGACTGCCTCTCGGAATGTCTGCAAGCAGTTGTGTTGGCACACTATGCTAATAGTCAGATTACAGTGTTTGTCTTAAAATAGCAATAATATCCTGGCTATTTCATGCTTCAGTAAAATATTTAAATTGAAATGGCATTTTTTTTTTCCTTTGGCAACTCAAACTTGGTTGCATTTTAATAATCCTCTTGCTCTCAGTAACTAGAGTCCAAGCCACCCACTGGGGTATCTCGGGTAATGATGGGGTCCCACATCATCTTGCTGTTGTTGAGTTGCTGCTCTGATTGAGGCTTGTGGTATGAGGACAGGGAAGTTTCCTCTACATTCCTAATAACTGTTCTCTATTTCAAGTCTCTATCCAGTTCCACAGCAGCAAGCGTGGACAGAAAACCTAAGGTCTTGGCTTTTTTCAAAAAAATATTTTGTGTATTTATCAGCAACCCAGGAAAGTCCGGGCACTGAACATCTGATGTTAGGTTTGCACATCTCTTGCAGCACTTGCTGGATGATGTGGGGGTTCTGTGCAAAGCCGAATCACCCTCCCCACCACCTCAGGACACCCACAAGCACCCTGACTCAGTAGATACCAGAATCTTTGTGATCATCCCATTTATTTAGGGAAAGGTGGGGGCTTGGCATTGGAGTAGAAGAAAGAAGGCAGCTTCTACAAAATGAGGGAATATCTAGCCAGAATGCTCCAAATAATTTTCGTCTGTCACTGTCACCTACGTGAAGTTGGCCTTGGCTTTCAACCTGTTCACGTGCCCAAGATCTGCCTTGACCTGGAGTACCAAAGGTGCCCTTAATGCGAATGTATTTTTCCAGAAAACACACTTCAGCCAAGCTAAGAATCCAGGAACACCACTAGGGAGGAAACAAAGACATCTCTGAAGCCATTTGAAGGTAAAAAAGAATTCTGTAGGAAGTACAATGATCTTAATTAAATATTAGCCGTAATTAGCCCAAAGTGCAAATGTTGGGAATATTAATAGGGTCTCTCTGGAACAGCTGTCAGTGTTAATAAGTAACTGTGGGGGGTCCCACTAACATCTGTTTGAGGACTTCAGAGCAGGAGTGCCGTCCAGAGCCTCGTGGACTTGAACGCTACCTGTGGGCTCCTTGGTGACCATGGACACACTCCCTAGAGCTTGGTGCCCTGGGTTTGCCAGAATGGCACAAGGTTTGGATGGTTTGTCCCCAGTTGGCCCTTGCCTTTCCTAGGACAGCCTCAGAACCATGTAACGCTAGACCCTGGGCTTGAGATGGCACAAATTTTCTAGGCTGTGGCTTTAACATGCACCAGAGGCTCGTCTGGCAAATGGAACACTGGTATTTCTGTATCAAGTACGCCAGCACTGACTCCCCATAGGGTGTAACACACCACCAGGTGGGTAGCAGGTCCTGAGGCCATGGTGTATGTATGACCGAGAGAGGTTCGTTTATTTCAAAACGGGAACAAACCTTTCCACCAGGTGATAGTCTTTCAAGGTCAGAGACACCTGGGCATCCATTTGGCTCCTGGCTTCCCTAAGAGCTACTTGTTGCTGCAACGATCATTTCCTAGTTCTGGACTGCAGTCTCCTTCACAGCAAAGGAACATGGGATGAAAGAGGCACCGCATGCAAAGCAGGGATCCCAGGTCTTGGCGAGATTAACATTTGGGGCTAGGTAATCCTTTGCGCAATGCACTGTCCCATGCATTGTAGGGTGTTTAGCACCATCCCTGGCCTCTCCCTACTAGATGTGAGCAGCAACCCTTCCCCCTCACTGGGAACAACCAAAAGTGTCTGCACACATTGTCACATGTCCCGGGGAGCAGTCACCCTGTGTAAGAAGTACTGACGCCAAACCCCAGCACAATGCCTGGTACCTTCTAGGCCTGAGAAGAAAGCATCCCTCAGCGTGCCTTCTGAGCATTAGTAAGAAGAAGCGATCCCTTTCACATGAGCACAGAAGCCTGAGGTCGTCATTGATCTTCCCCTCGGCAGCCCACTGTGCTGAGTCTGAAGCCTGCGTGTGCACGTGTGTGCTTATAACGCAGAGGTACAAAGATGGAAAGCACACTCTGAAGAAGACTTCCCATTGGGCACCATCCTCGGCACCACCCATCCACAACTCTGGCTGAGCTTTCCTCCTTGGTTTAGGGAGAATGCACCCCCCTTTCTCTGTCTTCCGCTTTTACTGCCAACTTTATTTCCTGCCCAAACTTACCATTACTTCCGCAACGGTGGCTTCTTACTTGATGTCCCCATATTTAGTGATAACTTTGCCACCTTGATTTAAAAACTTTTTCCGCAAAGGGCCAATATGGTTAAATAATTTAGATTTTGTGGGTCTCTCACGACTACTCAACTCTGACATTATAGCCCGATGAGCATGGCTGTGTCTCAGTAAAACTTTATTTACAAAACAGCCAGTGGGCCAGATTTGTCCCCTGGATCATTTGCCAACCCCTTTTCTATCCCCCCACCCCCCCACCCTATGTCCTGTTGCCAGATTAAGCTTCTCAGAGCCCAGCGTTCATTATTCGAGCTTGCATTCACTTAGCAAGTACTGATAAATGCCTACTTTGCAGCTAGCATGCCATGGGACACTGGAAACTGAATGGAGAATGTGACACAGTCCCCAGCCCTGAGGACTCTCCCAGGCAAATAAGCAGGCAGTGACAGCGCTAAGAATTATGTGAGATGTGGCCACAAGCCACAGTGAAGCATAAGTGGGCTCAGTGCCAAGGCAGGCTTGCTAGAGGACTTGGCCTGGGACCTGAAAGGACATTCAAGACTAGCCAGGCAAGGGAGTAGGGAGGGTTTTCCAAGCAGAGGGGCAGCGAATGGGTAGACTTGATGGGTGTGGAGAGTATGGAGTGACTGTTGGCTTCCTGAGGGCAGGCCTTTCCCCTTCAGATGCAGAGAGAGCTCAGATCCCAACAGAAAGCCCTTGCAGATTTTTGGGAACCTGTGGGGGAGAGATCACTGTCCCTGAGACTGCTCTGCTATGTGGAAAGGCCTATGTGTCCCCATAAAAGTGTTTTCTGCTAGAGGCAGAGGGGAGGAAAGCTTTTTCTTTGTGTGAGCATCTCTCTGCTGTTGCTTGTGGGATCATTTCATGCTCCCCTATGGGGCCACACCTGGAGTTTTCACTAGCCTGGCTTTCAATTCAAAGAAGCAGCAGATTGAAGGGGGGGGTGGAGCTGAAACAGACCTTTGGGCAGAAGTAGAATCTGGCACAACGAATTTCCCTTTGGAGGGTTCTCAAGATCCCAAACTTCTCATCAGCCAGAAAGAAGTGGCTCTGCATGGAATTTGCATACAGACAGCTATGTTCCTTGAGCAGCCCTGTAGAAGAGAAGGATGCTAGTTGGCTTATAAATGGGAGAGGATGTTTCTGTTCTTATTAGTCCAGACTCTTTTGGTTGTAAGTAACAGAAAATAAAACTATCTTACCCAAAAGGAGGCATTTACTGACTCATGTAACTGAAGCAAACAGTGGTGTTATTAACTGCAGGTAAAGCTGGATCCAAGGCTTCACGTGATATCACCGGGACTCAGTTGACCTGTTTCTCATTTTCTGGGCTCCGTTTTCCCCTGGGTTGGCTTCTGCTTTAGGTGGGTCCTTTTCAAGTGGCAGTTGTTGGCAGATCTAGGGTGGCATTATTTTTACAGCTGCCAATCCCAGAGGAAGGAGAACTTCTTCCCCAAACTCCAGGAACCTCGCCTCCTTGGTGTTGCTAGAGGTGAACTCACTAACTGGCTTAGACAGATGGGTGTGAACCCATGTCCCTGTGACTGTGACCGTGGAACCCTCTGAATAGCCAGGGTCATGTGACTGTGTCTGGAGGTAAGCTGTGGCAGGGCTCAGCTCCATCTGCACTCTGTGGGCTGAGAGTGGACGTGTCCCCTAAAAGGAACCCAGGCGTTATTACGAAGCAGCAGTGATAATGTGGCTTCCCAAGGATGGTCAGGGTTAACTTTCCACGTGCAGGGATCCAACCACAGTGCAGACAGACCCTGCACAGCCCCAAACGTGAGGAAAAGACGTTAGACAGAAAGTAAGCAATGGTTGTGCATTTCTGCTTCCAATGCACAGACATTTGGAGACATTCGTCTGGGGGAGGAAAGGGCATGATGGGAATGTTTTCGCTTGTAAAATGTTTTAAACTTATCCTAAGCTTAGTTCTCTTCAAAGTGTCATCTTTAACATTCTAATTAAGGTCCCCTCTAAACAAATGCACAAGCTCTGTGCACGGCTCCGAGAATAAACTTTTTTTTTTTGGTTCCCTTCTCTGTCATAATGTTTTTGCTGCACTCAAGTTGCTTTAGCTGGAGAGGCTCTCGAATGTTGGTGGCGGGGACCGAGGAGATGTGAGCAATTCTGACATTTTTGCCCTGGTATCATTCTATGAGGGCTGAAGTCACATCTGATTGACCATGGACAATGGGAGAGGCAGCTCTTTGGTGTGCTTAATTGCTAAGCTTCTCTCTCTCTCTCTCTGACTGATCTCTTTTCATGATCTCATGAGATCATGAAAAATTTGGGCCTCTGAGTTACAGTTTCTGGTGCAGTGTGCATGTGTGAGCATGCCTGTGTGTGTGTGTGTGTGTGTGTGTGTGTGTGTGTATAGGGTAGTAGAGTTATGAGGGTCTGGGTTGGGTAGAGAGAGATAGATGTTTCCTGAAATGGAAGCATTTGAATTCAGGGTTTTTTTTATTCTTTTGACTTGACTGTAATGATCACGCTGCATGTTTTGCCTAGATTGGAAGGGTGAATTGTTATATAATACTCTGTGCTTATAAAAAATAAGGCGGGGCAAGAAAAAAAAAAAAAAAATAAGGCGGGGCGGGGTGAGGCATTGACTAATGAGGTTAAGTCCAGCATTTTGTAAAGATACTTAAAATGGTGAACACAGTATCACAGAGTGCCATCTTTGTCCAAATTAGGTCTTGAATGTCCATTGGCTGCTTCATATTGGCACTGGGAATATCACACACACACACGCACACACACACACACACACTGTGACCATTAAAAGGACTTCCCCCATCCCATTATGTGAGCCAAGTCACATAAAACTTTGATTAAATTCAAATGCTTAGATGAATTGTCTCTGCTCTCAAGAACACACACGTTCAATTTAATCTCTCTTGGCATTTTAAGTACCAAATCAAGGCTCTGCTATCGCTGGAGACAACTATATGCTCATATGTTCCAAAATGGGAACGAAATAAGGAGGATCTGCCAGAAAAATCTAATCGGGCAGAGCACAGAACCTCCGTCTTTGGCTATGGGGCTGGAAGGTATGGGGAAAGTGACTGCATCTTGCTGAGCCTCGATTTCTGCATCTGCGCAATGGGGTTATGTCTGTATACATGCTGAGCACTATTTCCTTATCGAGTCTGGGGAAGACGAAGTGGGATGCGTTCATCTCGGGCTCTTGGCATAGTGCTGGCCCCTGCAGAGTGTTGGGGGGAGCACTAGTCCTTGGGCCGCAGGGAAGGGGTCTGCCTGGTGCCCTCTCACGGTGTTCTCACCCTCTCTCCCCCTTTCTGATTTTTTTTAGGGTAATCAGGAAGCAGCAGCTGCCCCGGACACAATGGCTCAGCCTTACGCTTCGGCCCAGTTTGCTCCCCCTCAGAACGGCATCCCCGCGGAATACACGGCCCCTCATCCCCACCCCGCGCCAGAGTACACAGGCCAGACGACCGTCCCCGAGCACACGTTAAACCTGTACCCTCCCGCCCAGACGCACTCGGAGCAGAGCGCAGCGGACACCAGCGCGCAGACCGTGTCGGGCACCGCCACAGTAAGTGGGCGCGCGTCCTGGGTAGGCGGGTGGGTGGGGGTGACGACGCGGCGCCCGCCACCCGCCGGGGGCTACCACGGCGGAGCAGTCCCTGAGGCCGGCCCTCTCGCAGCGACTCGCAAAGTTCCCCTGTCCAGAGGCCTCCTCTCCTATTACTTACTTAAATCAACACATTTTTCCTTAACTGCCTTTATTCGTAAAGGGAAACCTTCATCTAATTTCTGTTCCTATTGCACTGCCTTTTCTGGAATGATGTCCCCTTGGTAGAATCATACACTATGTAACTTTAACAGCTTTATGGAGATATAATTTGTATACCAGAAATTCGCCTATTTTTGGTGTACAATTCACTGATTTCTAATATATTTGCAGACTTGTGCAACCAGTGGCACGATCTAATTTTGGAATATTTCCACCACCCAGAAAGAAACCTCATGCCCCTTTGCAGCTCCTCCCCATCCCAGCCCCTGTCTTCTTCAGCTTCTTCAGCCTCCTTCAGGCCTTTGCAATTTACCTGTGTTGTTCTGTATCTTGTGTGAGCCACAGGGCGGGGGAGGCCTGGGCTGCAAAGGGGCAGCACCAGAGAATTTTGCAGGGTCATGGGATGTTCCGTATTTTGATGGTGGCTGTTTACTTTATGCACCAAAAAAAGTACATCTTATTGCATGTGAATGCATTTAGTGGATTAAAAACAAGCAAACAAACAAAAAAGAAACATTTTATCACCACCATAAATTAAAAAACTAGCATTGTTGGCTATTAATCAAAGATAAGCCTAAACAAAAATAATTATTAAAATTAAACACTTGTTCGTTTGTGCGTGACCTAAAATAACCGCAAGATGTATATGTTCATTTGAGAAACCTTGTTCTGGGACGCCTGCGTGGCTCAGTGGGTTAAGCGTCTGCCTTCGCTCAGGTCATGATCCCAGAGTCCTGGGATCGAGTCCCGCATCGGGCTCCCTGCTCCACGGGGAGCCTGCTTCTCCCTCT